TATATATATATATATATTTATATATATATATATATATATATATATATATTTATATATATATATATATATATATATATATATATATATATATATATATATATATATATATATATATATATATATATATATATATATATATATATATATATATATATATATATATATATATATATATATATATATATATATATATATATATATATATATATATATATATATATATATATATATATATATATATATATATATATATATATATATATATATATATATATATATATATATATATATATATATATATATATATATATATATATATATATATATATATATATATATATATATATATATATATATATATATATATATATATATATATATATATATATATATATATATATATATATATATAAATATTCTATTATATACTGTTTAAAAATGCTGTTTTCTCTTTAAAAATATTATAAAATGTTGTTTATTTATTATTTTACAGCTGAATTGTTAATTTCCAGTCACTTGATCCCTCAGAAATCACTTAATTATGCTGATTTGCAGCAAAATAAACATTATTATTACCATCACCATCATCATCGATGAACAGTTGAGTAATATTTTTTTAGGATTATTAAATGAATTATGCTTTATTTAATTATAAAATATTAAATATTCAAGTATATATGGTTGTAAATAGCTGACTGTTTTTTTAAATATCTTATAAAATGTACTGTAAAAGCTGAATTTTTAGTTTATAGTCACATGATCCTTCAGAAATCATTCTATTATTCTGATTCATAGCAAAATAAATATGCATTATTATTATTATTATTATTATTATTATTACTACCATCATCATTATTTATGAACAGCTGAGCCATTTTTTTTCAGGATTCTTCAATGAATTATACTTTAAATATTTAATTACAATATATGAAACATTCAAGTATGTTTTGAATATGCAGTATTATCATATGTCATTTATTTCTCTTATACATAAAAAAATAATCTCTAAATAATTTATAACCTACAATAACACTAATATTAATAGTTTCTTAATCAGCACATGTTCATATTAGAGTGATTTCTGATGGATCACATGAGGAGAATTAATGATAAAAATTCAGCACTGAAATTACAGGAACCAACTCCATTTTATAATATATCCAAATAGAAAATGTTTATCTTATATAGTAAAAATGTGTCTAAATTGTACACTTTGCTGTACTTTGGATCAAATAAATGCATGAGCATTAAATAATAAAACATTAAAAGTCATTTTGTATTTTGTGTGTACCTAATAAATATTCATATTACATAAGTATACATGCACTATATGAGTTGAGGTCAAAATGACTAGTGTTAAACAACTACTATTCAGCTTAAAGTGCAATTTAAAAGCTTAAGTAGGCAAGTAATTATAGAAGAGTGGGTTTGTTCTGTAGACAATTGAGAATAAAAACATGACTGGGGCTCATATCAATAACCTTAAAACTGCTTTAAAGACAATTTAAAACTGCTTTTATTCCGACCAAAGTAAAATCAATAAGACTTTCCAGAAGAAAAAATATTATAGAAATTACTGTGAAAATTTTTCTTGCTCTAATTAAACATCCCTTCAGAAATATTTGATGTTGAATAAAAATGTTCATAGAAGGGCAAATAATTATTACTTTAATTATGTGTGTGTTTTTATGTGTGTGTTTTTATGTGTGTGTGTGTTTTTGTGTGTGTGTGTGTGTGTGTGTGTGTGTGTGTGTGTGTGTGTATATATATATATAACGTAAATAAATAAACCTTTTATTTAGACTGTGATTAATCATTTGACCGCACTACTTTAAATCAAACTCACCTTCATATTTTCATCCATGCTTATTTTTTCTTTAAATGACTTATTCCTACTTTGTGACGTTACGAGTTACATGTCCTCATATTTGACATGAATAAGCACCTTTTTAAAGACACCGTACGTTTTCTTAAAAACAGAAAAGGTAAATAAAAACCTCCTATGCTCCAACTGGACTACAAAATAATTACAGTATATGTACAGAATGGATGCACTGATGACCACAGCATGTCAGTGAGAGAGATGCATCATGGGAAACGGAGTTCTTCAGTGCTCCTTCAAGACTCACGGTTGGTTTTTTTAAAGCAGTTCCGCAGATCTGAAGACGTCATTGGCAACAAACACATCACTGGAATGTGAAATGAGAGAAAATAATAAAGGAGAAACTGAAACTGAGAGTGTTTCTGCGTTTGTCCAGCGTTTCTCCTCACATCTCCAGACTGAAGCGCGAGTGCAGGTGAGTGTGCTTTTTAATGGAAGTGTGTTTGCATGAGAGTTTCACGTTGATTTCTGCCGGTAGTGAAGCGTCAGGTCGCCGCCGCTCTTCCAGATGAAGTGCTTCACTGTTCGCAGGTCCATGTTTGGGTCCAAAACCTTCCGGAAACAATAAAAACACGTGCAATTAGTGGTGTAACAGATCACAAACCTCACGGTTCATAACACATTACGGTTTTTTAGTCATGGAGTGAACTATTTTTCAGATCAGCCAAAGGAGGAGACGAATGTAATTTGCTTTCCATTCATTACAGAAACAGCACTGCAAGACACTTTTGGTTTGAACAAACTGAATCTAGAAGCTGTCATTTCATTAAAAATCAAAGGAAGAAAGAATCAGCTAAATAAACATAAACTGCTAAATATTCTGTGAATAATTCACTGTTCCCCTACTGCTATTGCTGATAACGCTAAACGTAGAAATCTAACATCATTTGTACAACCCATATTTATTTTTAATCTCATCTTCAATAAATTATTCATTCATATATCTTCATGTTTCGTTGTTAGATGATCATTTTTGAAGAATTATTTAGTGGCAAAATAGGGTCCAACCCGGTACTAGTAAGGTGTACCTAATAAAGTGGCCAGTGAGAGTATAATATAATATAATATAATATAATATAATATAATATAATATAAAAGAATATAATATAATAAAATAAAATATAATATAATATAATAAAATATAAAATAATACAATATAATAAAATATAATATAAATATAGTATAATTTCATAAAATATAGTATAATATAATAAAATATAATATAAATAAAATATAATATAATAAAATATAGTATAATATAATATAATATAATATAATATAATATAATATAATACAATATAATATAATAAAATATAATAAATATAATATAATGTAATACAATATAATATAATAAAATATAATATAATATAATATAAAAGAATATAATAAAATTAAATTATAAAATAATACAATATAATAAAATATAATATAAATATAGTATAATTTCATAAAATATAGTATAATATAATAAAATATAATAAAATATAATATAAATAAAATATAATAAATAAAATATAGTATAATAAAATATAATAAAATACAATATAATAAAATATAATATAATACAATATAATATAATAAAATATAATAAATATAATATAATGTAATGCAATATAATATAATAAAATATAATATAAATATAAAATAATAAAATAAAATACAATACAATAAAATAGAATATAATAAAATATAATATAATAAAATATAATAATATAATATAATACAATATAATATAATAAAATATATAATATAATGTAATATAATATAATACAATATAATAAATATAATAAAATATAATGTAATACAATATAATATAATAAAATATAATATAAATATAAAATAATAAAATATAATATAATACAATACAATAAAATATAATATAATAAAATATAATAGATATAATATAATGTAATATAATAAAATATAATATAAATATAAAATAATAAAAATATATAATACAATACAATACAAAATAATATAATATAATACAATATAATAAAATATAATATAATATAATACAATACAATATAATATAATATAAATAATATAATATAAAATGAGTGCCGCAGCACCTGATCCTGGCAGAGCAGCTCGATCTTCTCCTCGGCCTGCACCGCCATCTCCTCGTCCTCCTTCTGCTCGCTGCTGGGCTTTTCTGCTGCTGATCCTCCAGTTTGAGACTCGCTGTCCAGATTAATGATCTTCTCATACACGTGCTCCATCACCTTCCTCACCTGCAGCATATCACTCGCTGACAGACGGTCCCTGACACACGCACAGACAGAGACAGAGACGCACGCAAACAAAGACATTACATGTTAACATTATAGAAATAATTAAATAATTGTTATTATTTAATAATAATAGTAAGAAGAAGAGCATAATATATTCTGAAACAAATGTCAATTATATAAAGGACAAATCATAATTAGTAAATCAAAAATACATTAATAATGTTCTACTCCATTATATTTATACTAACAATAAAATCTCGCACACATAAAAGGTTTGATTCTAATGTTTGTTATACAATTTAATCATATAAATATATATAATATTTATAATAAAAGATTGCAACTCAGTAGTTATTATTAGAAATGTTTTCATACTTCTTCAGTGTCTTCGCTCCGGAGGATGAATGTGGCTGGAGGTAGAACGGGATTTTGTTGAATTTGGGCATGTTTTTCTGTGGGAAGGAGAGAGAAATTAATAAATGTGACACGAGTGAAGTAACAGGTATAAAACAGACACACAAACACGCTAAAACAGTCACACAAACACAAAACAGACACACACACACACACACACACATACACACTCTTACGTCTACAGTGATGTCGATGACCCACTGCGGCACCGTCTCATTCAGCAGCATAGACTCCGTTTCTCCACCAGAGTCTCGACACAACAATCTGGAACACACACACACACAATTACTAAACTCCAGCAGATACAGAGCAAAGAAAACACACACATAAATAAAAAAAACACACACACTCCATTACAGAACTCCAACAGGTACAGAGCAAAAAAAAAAAACACACACTCCATTACTGAACTCCAGCAGATACAGACCACAGTAAGCACACAGTCATGCTCAGACAAACACACACATGCATAAAACACACATCCAGACAGACAGACACTCACACGCACGCACACAAAACACACACATCATACTCACAGTTACACTCTCACACAGACACACTTGCTCGCATACACACACACACACACCTGAATAATGTCCTTCCTCCTGCTTCACCAAATATCACCGGAGTGTGTGGAGGAACCTGGAAATATCCGTTTCCCTTCTGTATTCGACTCTCATGTTCACCGTTCACTGAGAACACACAACACATTATTCAATTAACAAAATAAAGGTCCATTTACAGATGTACACATGCAATGAAACACCTTAATTACACATAATACATACACAGTTTATGTATTTATTATGCATGCAAAAGATTGGTTTATTTAATAATAATAACAACAACAACAACAACAACAACAACAGTACTTATAAACATTGTTAAAATAGTAACATTTAATGCAATATACTATAATACATTATAGTTATATTATAACTATTAATCATGTTGTTATCCTAATATTATATTTCATATTTTTATCATCACTTTTAATTTTATTTACAATAATAATCGCAATAATTGCTAATAATAATAAAGATTATTAATATGAAGATTATTATTAGTAATAGTATTATATTAGTTAATAGTAATAAAAATAAACAACAACTGATCTTGATAATAATAAATATAATAATAATAATAATGACCATTATTATTATGGAGATTATTAGCAGTATTATAATAGTTAATAGTAATAATAATAATAATAATAAACAACAACAACAGATAATAATAATAATTAACAACAGCAACAACAACAGATTATTAATAATAATAATAATAAGAACTGTTTGTAATAATAATAATAATAATAGTAATTAACAACAACAACAACAATTTATTAACATTATCATGAATAATAATAAAAATATTTAACAACAGCAACAACAATTGATTATTAGTAATAATAATAAAGATTATTATTAGTAGTAGTAGTAGTATTATAATTGTTAATAGTAATAACAATAACAACAACAACAACTGATTATAATAATAATTAACAACAACAATTTATTAATAATATCATGAATAATAATAATAATAATCAACAACAGCAACAACAATTGATTAATAATAATAATTAACAACGTTTAAATATTATCATTAATAATAACAAAACAATTGATTGATGATAATAATAATAATAATAATAATAATAGCAATTAATAAAACTAATTAGAGATTTTTAAAAACATAATAAATGTGTAAATTATATGTACACATTTATAATAATAACAACAATTTTAAATGAATAAATAAATAAACAAATTTTAAAAATTAACTATTTTGAATATTCTGCTGAGTGTTTTTGTCGTTTACCGCTGCTGTGGTTGAGTTCGGTCTCCTCATCCATTGGGTTTATGTGTGTGCGTGGCCAAAACTCCAGCAGAGCCTGAAGCAGCAGCCCACCCAGATTCACTACACACAGACACACAAACATTAATCCTGATACATCATCTATGATCACCATATTCAGACTGTACTCACATTTGGGGTCGGATCCGTCAGGGCTGCTGAATCCAGCGTCTTTAGCAGAAACCCAGGCTGCAAAACAGTCGCTCTCGTCCAGCGTTATAGTCAACATCTGACGGACACAAGAGTCTTAACTTACTCAACACTGAACACTTGATGAAACAGCATTATTACACGGCTCTCGAAACACTTGATTCTGATTTGTCAATCACGATATTTTTATATATTGTCATTTAAAATATTTAATTATATTAATTTATAAACAAAACATATTTAACGAAATATATCTAAAATTGTATTTAATTAAATATGTTTACATATTTAATTAAATATGTTTTATATATTTAATTAAATATGTTTAATTATATATATATATATATATATATATATATATATATATATATATATATATATATATATATATATATA